TTTAACTACAACTCACCTTTTGATTGTCGCTTACTTGCCGCCACAACTAAAACATACTATCAACTGCTGCGATTGTTGTGTTTTTTGTTGTTGTTGTGCTGTTTTTGGTGCTTTCATCATTTTCAGTAATTTCTTTAATGTATTATTCCATTGTTGTTGTTATTTCATACCTTTTAAGGAGTTGGGCGACAATGTCGAAACGAACATCAATGATGCGACCCAACGATTATTGATGTTGTTGCTGTTGTTTCGAGGACATGCTTGCATAGGTAAACAGTGGTTATACAGGGGTATACTTCACTGATGATTATATTTTTGTTTCATTAATAATATGTCGATGTCTGTATTCAAAAGGTCCTTCATGTATTACCTTCATATTCTTTCGCCCTGTCTGATCGAAACAAGTTAATGAGGTGTTATATTTAATTTTCTTAATACTTCCATGGGAAATTCTGAAGGATTGATATCCACTTGCAATTAAAAAAACGCACTTCTTCTTGAATGCATTTTTAGTGATACCTTTATATTTAAAATGATCGTCTGAAAATTTCAAGCCGTTTCGGAAATATATTTCTCATCGTTTTTAAGAACAGCGTTTCAGGAAAAACGGTCAAAGTTTGGGAGTTTATAACTCTAAGCTAAAATATTCTAACAATTTTTTTCGAAAACTATATACCGACACCACTGTGCAACTATTCCATACGTTTATTGTTTACGATTTTTAGTTTTTTTGTAAACCAAATCGATCGATATTTTTGCTTTTCACTTGTTCACGTCTTCCATCGCGTCTTCGAATGTTGCAAAAAATCTGTTTAAGCGGGCGAGACCTTCAAGGAATTTCAAGACAATTGGCTACAGTTTTATGTCTTTTTCAACACGGTATGTTTGTGTGTTGATGCTTATGTTCATTGCCGTTTCATTACATGGAAGATTGTCTGGAATGCGGCGCATCGGAAGGCAGCGGAAGAGGCAAAGGATTTTACAGACGAAGGATTGTGTTGGAGCACAAAGGCTGTTGCCAAAATATCGCCTCCCCAAAGAGGCGAACTTAAGGACTTTAAGTGAAATTGGCAGATGATTTCGATTTATGTTGTTGTAATTTTCATTGAACATTCAAATTATTTTATGTTTGGTATATATTTGGGTTTTTGTGCCGATTTTGCACGCGCTTCAACCATATTTAGGCTAGGATTTGAACTTGGTACTTGGTGGGGCCAGCGTCGCTGTAGTGCGCACGACGGTACGCGAAAAGGTCTCTTACGGTTATTGCTTTACTTAACGAGCAATTAGCTGCGGTTGCCCTTCACCTCCGCCGGCACTATATTGAAAGCCGTAAATACATTACCCCATATGCAATGGCAATTGCAACAACAACTATAGTAAATAGCAATAACAACGGCAACGAATCGCCGTCGATGAAGCGTCGTCTTGCTTAACATTGCATTGCTAATTAAAACTGTAAAAAAGCGGCAACGTCGTGAACGTCGTGGAGACCGGCGTTTATCGGGGACTTAATGTGCAGTACATATGCGTGCGCTTTATGTGCGAATGTGTGTACGTGTGCGTTATATGGTTCTGTTTAATAGTCATTTTGTTATTAGTCCTGTATTTCTTTTCTTTTTTTCGTTTGTGCACGACTTCAATTCGAGCGCCTGCAGGCGTCTTTAAAACTTGTAAATTTACAAAAGTGCAAAACATGTGAGTACTCTCCTATATGTTTGTGTGCATCGTTTATGAAAATGTACAAGCATGAAATCTATGAATAACTGCGTCTGAACTTTATGTTCGCTGCGCTGTCTCGCAATAATTTCTACGCCCATTTCCGGTCGCTCAAATATGTGTGAATGCAAATACAGTCAGTCTGCTGTTAATGTAACGGACTGCAGCGAAAAGCGCAGCGAACAGTGTGACAGTTTCCTAAACTAATTGGTTAAAAATTATTATTGCGTCGGTAAGTATGAATTTAAAAATAAAAAAAGATAAAATAAATATCAAACATACTCAATTTAAAACCAAAAGAGAAAACATTGTCATTGTTTTTTTTTTATTAAAAAATAATTTTTATTGCTTCGAAAGCTATGATTTTACAAAAATGATAATAAAAAATAAAATATTATTAGTTTCTAAGTTAAAAGGTAATTGAAAACAAGAAAAGACGCTAACTTCTTTTGCACTGAAGCTATAATACTCTCACAGGTGAATTTCTTATTACATAAAATTGTATGAAAGATTTTTATCTTTATTTTGATCGCTCACTTTGTATGACAGCTATGTAGAAATGCATATGCTATAGTGGTCAGATCTGAACAATTCGTTCACAGTTTATAACGTTCCGAATTTCTAGAAGATATATTGTCCAAGAAAAATATTTTTCATACAAGAACTGGATTCGGATCGGTTTGTTTGTATGACAGCTATTATTAGTGATCTTTAATTTGCTCGGAGTTTGTAAGTAGCTTATATCAAATTTCGTGAAAATATCTTGCCAAATAAAAAAATATTCCATACATAAACTTGATTTGGATCGGTCAGTTTGTGAGGCAGCTATGTATTGTACACAATAGTCTGATATCGGTGGTCTCGATTATATACCTATATTTATATTTTTTTGATAGGGTCTCCGACGTTTTCTTCTGTGTATTATATATAATTTAAGTTTTTGTTTTTAATTTATGTTTTTTTTATTAAAAAAAAAATGTTTTTTTTTTTTTAAATTTTTGTGCCTACGACGCACTGTGCGGCGCTGTGATTCAATATGTGAATGAATTTAAAATGTTGAAATACTTTCACACATTTTGCAAATCAGTTGTTGTTGATTCTGTTGTTGTTTTTGTATTTTTATACTCTCGCAACCTGTTGCTACAGAGTATAATAGTTTTGTTCACCTGACGGTTGTTTGTATCACCTAAAACTAATCGAGTTAGATATAGGGTTATGTATATATAAATGATCAGGATGAAGAGACTAGTTGAAATCCGGGTGACTGTCTGTCCGTCCGTCCGTCTGTCCGTCCGCCGTGCAAGCTGTAACTTGAGTAAAAATTGAGATATCTTTATGAAACTTTGTAGACATGTTTCTTGGTACCGTGAGACGGTTGGTATTGCAGATGGGCGTAATCGGACCACTGCCACGCCCACAAACGCCATTAATCAAAAACAAATAAATTGCCATAACTAAGCTCCACAACAAGATACAAGACTCTTATTTGGTATACCGGATCACAATAGAGAGGGGCATCTGCACTTACAAGTTTTTTTTAAGTGGGCGTGGTCCCGCCCCTAATAGGTTTAATGTGCATATCTCCTAAACCGCTAATGCAATAATAACAAAATTCACTGGAAGCAAATGTTTTTAGAACATCTACCTACAGTGTGAAAACTGGGGGTGGCAACTCCGCCCACTCCCTATATAACGATACTGTTAAAAACTACTAAAAGCGCGATAAATCAAGCACTAAACACGCCAGAGACATTAAATTTTATCTCTGGGATGGTATGAGATGACTTTATAGGAACCGCGGTGCATAACGTTCTTTTCATATTTCTATGTCATAGTGCGAAAATGGGCGAAATCGGACTACAACCACGTCTACTTCCCATATAACACCATTTCAAATTCCATCTGATTCTTTCACTTTCCAGTATGCAAATCAAGCAACAATGATTGTATCGGGATAAAACTTTGCGTGAATAATGCGATTAAAGTATGCCACCTTGTAGCCAAAAATTGTCTAAACCGAACCAAAACTGTTCAAGTACTAAATATGTGGACCCCCCAGTGCCTATAGTTGACCTTCTACCGAAAATATCAGTCAATCCACAAAGAAATCTCAAACGAGTATACCATTTGACTTTGCGAGAGTATAAAATGTTCGGTTACATCCGAACTTAGCTCTTCCTTACTTGTTTTTTGCTGTATTTGTGGCTTCAGGGTCTCACCATTGCAACGCAGATCAAATAAAGTGTTATCAAACTCCGTCATTTGACTAGAAAACAGATGTGGCTTTTGTTTCACATTATTCGTATTATTGTTGTAACTAACATTTTCGCGATGGTTGTTGAAATATGCTTACAATTATGCTACACAACACATACATACATATGCACATAAAATTCGCAAGCTGCCGATCTTATAACCTCGGCTAATAATAAATTTCGTGGCAATATCATCGCCATTGATGAACGGTTAATTCGAATCGCATCGATTACACGTTTTCATACAGCGCAGAGGGGGGTGGATGCTGATGATATTTTGCACAGCTGCATTTTCAGCTAATACTTAGACAGTCAATCATGTTGTATGGCATGGGCATGAGTAGGAGGCACATCTATCTGCACGCGAAATGTTTGATTAGCGCGCATTCACTCAAGCAGAGTTCCATTTCGCTTTTGGTGATAATTCGACAGACATGGGAATGTTTCAGCGTAGGCCGTTATGTGGTGCATGTGCTCTACAGTTGAAAAGTTCTTAGAAAATTCACCAATGAGTTGACTATGTAGTCAAATTGATGCGAATTTTTTTCATATTTTCTAAGGGTCAGATATAAATATTCATTAATTTGGTTGGAAAAGGGCACGCGCTGTAAATTTTCATAATTAACTCAATGATATGGGAAAAATATGGATGTGGCAAATGTACGTACTTATATACATACATAGCTCATAGGTTGAAAAGTTTTTTATGTGTGCTCACTTTGACTTTCACCAACGCTTACATTATTAATTTCAGCTTAAGCAGTTTTTAATTAACTCATAGCTACATACGCTTAATTTAATGCCAGCTTTGTTTGTATTTTAATTCGCTATGATATGATTGAACACTGTGTGTGTCGGTCAGCTCAATTACACCCTCGTTAAACTATGTACCATTTATCCTTTGGTGAAAGAAATGTATTTATATTTCAATTGAGTTATAGAAAATTAAGTTAAATAGTCAACTCTAAATTAATTTATTTTACATTTTCAATAATTTCTCGTTTTTTTTTTGTTGCTTTATTTTAGAACATTATTTCTCTATCTATTCGGCCAGTACCATTGCCGCTGCGAGTATCGCCGCCGCGCTAAGTGGTTTAAATTGGCATTTACGCTCCGGACAAAAGTTGCGTCATCTATTGGATTTATTAACCGATTTGACCAGCATTGAACAGGTAAGAAGGTTTCTAGTCTATATTTTAAATTTAAAAAATTTAAAGTAGCATGAGAATAATTAATTTAGGTTGTGTTAGTATACATGTATCTTTTACTCTAACTTGCACTATTTTAAATAAGTATGTTAATATAGTTAAAAATATGAAATTTATGGGTTTACGTAGTAAAATAATTTGAATTTTTCAGTTAAATAATTTGTTATTTTGTTAATTATACCCTGACCAGGGTATATTAAGTTTGTAACACCCAGAAGGAAACGGCGGAGCCCATATAAAGTATATATATAAATGATCACCGTGACGAGCTGAGTTGATTTAGCCAAGTCCGTCTGTCCGTCCGTCCGTCTGAATATACGCGAACTAGTCTTTCAGTTTTTGAGATATCGAAATTTTGAACAAGTCTTTTTCTTACCAAGAAGCTGCTCATTTGTCGGAACGGCCGATATCGGACCACTATAGCATATAGCTGCCATACAAACTGAACAATCGGAATGAAGTGCTTGTATGGGAAACTCTTTCATTTGAAGAGTATCTTCAAGAAATTTGGCATGTATTATTATTCAAAGCATTAATCTAATCTCCGAAGAAATTGTATAGATCGGATGACTATAGCATATAGCTGCCATATTAACTGAACGATCGGAGTAAAGTGCTTGCATGGAAAATTTTTTTTTTTGACGAGGTATCTTCACGAAATTAGGCACGAGTTATTGCTTAAGGCAACAAATTATTCTCCACAGAAATTGGTCAGATCAGATCACTATATCATATAGCTGCCATACAAATTGAACGTTCGGAATCAAGTTCTTGTAAGGGGCCTTTGTATTTGTGAAGGGTATTATAGCTTCGGGGCAGCCGAAGTTAACGTTTTTTCTTGTTTTTTTACGGTTGGAATTATACATATTTTAATTTAGCTTTACAAAATATCCCATTTTGTCATCATTCTATCGGTTTAGAACTCAGTTGTTTGATCAATCTATAGTCATTAAGTCATTATCAAGATGTATATGGTATATTTGTGACAGGCCTTACCACCGAAAAACGCCCAGTTCGTTCTTTTTTCAGTATGTTAACAATTATTTAAAGTCTTTCTTTAAATATTTAATAATTTTTAGGCTGCTATTTAAGAAATTTCCTTAGAGGTTATATTAAAAATCATAATATAATTTTCGATTTCGCAATTAGTACTTTTTACTACTAAATTATTATTGCAAGATATTTTCGGTTTTACCTTTTATTCAATATCATCCTTAATGTGAGCAACACCATATAACAATCAAATTATTTCCAAATATTGAATTGTGATATCATGCGGATACTACCAGTCGGGCAATATACTATTAATTTTATTATAATAGTGATAGAATAATGCAGAAATCATAGAAGAAGGAGAAAGCTCCAAACATAGCTTGATCTTAATAACAATCACACAAACTCTTAACTCCTGTTTGAGACGATCTTCAGATATTCATAAAACGTCTTATTTCAACCAAAAGCGAAAACCCCAGGAAAGTGCTTGTGAAAATATATGAATATTTTATTCGATGAATAAATGACTAAACAAAAAATATAACTTTCGAATGCACCATAAATATTACAATATAAGGATTTGTTTCCTTCTTTTACGCGCTAAAAAGTATGCAACATTTTATAAAATATATTCTGTTAATCTAAATTGTTAATGATTGATTGCTCCAATTATATATATTTGTATAAGCCGCTCTTCCTTCTTAATATCTTGTTTTTTTTTGGAATGTATTTTTATATAATTTTTATTACTAAATGATTTTGCAAATTATATAAAAAACAAATTTTTTATAAAAAATATTCTTAATTCAAACGCCTCTAATAATACTTTGTGCAAAAAATGTGAAAAGTAATAACTTTATCACCGTTGAAAGTCACCCCTTGTAAGGTACCTAATCTTCGACTTTCAAAAAGCTTCGCGTTGCATAATTTTCCGCTGTCAATGCCAGAGGTGAGTCAATCAAGGCGTTTCCGAAGAAATTTGTAAACAAATTATAGAAGCAAGGAAACAAAAAAGCATAAACAGAATCACGCGACTTCACATGGTTTTGTTTTAGTTTTTGTTGATTTCTTAACAAAATTTAATTGCATTTTAATGGTGCGTTTAATCGTATGCACACCGCATGTGACATTCGTGCTTGCTTCTACTCGAAAATATCCTATTTTTTCCAATTTATATGCTGTTAATTAATTTTTACGGCATTCCATTAATTTGCAAATGAGCAGGAGAACGCATTAAATCGCACATACAGACGATCAAATTTGCTTTTGCATACAATGATGCGATTGTATGTACATATATAAATATATTTTTAATGCATACATAGCATAAGGTTAAATATTGAAGAGTGTGACTGCGGACACTTGGCTGCATTGCGGTGCTTTTGAAATAATGCTGACTTTTGTTTTGGGGCGACAAAGCGTGTATAACCTTTTATACATTTCACTTCAATTTTATTTGATAATGAGCAAATCATATTTGAAGTGACATGCATACTTGTGTACCTAAATAACAATGTGGCATTTTGTCGAAGCGTCAGTGCGAGGACAGACAGACGGACATACATTCGAATATAAACAAACGGAGCTTTATTAATCAGAGTGTCTAATTAAAGTAACATATGCACTTATTTTTGTCTCGAAAATTGTTGAAAAATCTGCACACTTTGCTTAGTGGCAAAGTACTTTTTAAATGAGTTTTACTTAAGTTAATTAAAATTATGGTGTAAATGTTAAAAAATAATGTCATTAAGATGCAACCAAGTTTAAGATAATTATACTGTTATAATCGATATCGAAATCCTGCATTAAAAAGTGCTCAGAAATTTAATATCGAAAGTTATGTGAATTATTTTTGGAACTTAGCTGAAGCTTTGAAATTCTATATGTAATGGGAATTCTATAAATGGGAATGTTGAAAAGAGTAATATATTTATATTAAAAAACGTAATAGTAATAAAACGGAAATTACAAAATAAAGAAAAATTTATATACTATAATAAAAAACACTCTCATTAAATCAGAAGATCGCTTTATCTAGAATTCATCACTTAGGAAAAAATAAATTAAATGTTTATTGGAATAAAAACGAAATCACTTAATAGTTCAAGAACTCAAAGAAGAAAGAATAGAAAAGTGAAGAATTAAATCGAGTTTCCATATATTTATTGTCTCAACATCAAGAAATTTTAAAAAGTTTCAGAAGGTTGCTTTTTTAAAATCAAAACTGAAGAAACTTCTTACAACAGGCAAAATGTATAAAGGTTAGATAAGTGAACTTATACTTAACTTACACTGGACAGCCGCTGAGTGAAAGTTAAAAAAAAAACAGAGTAATGTGTAGTTTGTTCTAAGTGATTTGACTGGCTCGATTCCAACTAGAAAGCCACAGAACAATAGTAAAAAACAATAAAAAAGCGTTAAAACCATATAAACCATCTAACTCAATATTTGCAACTGAAGTAAAAAGTGTTAATGATCTAACCAAGCTCATATTTGCTCTGAACTCAGCTACGAAGCCTTAAAATAAAATTAATTTTATTTTCTTTATAAAGATAAATGTCTATGACTATAAGCCTCTAGTTTAATTCCAAATCTGAAAATGTCAAAAATACACCTTAATTGAAAGCAAATTAATATAATTAAGAAAAGCGTGTTTTACTAATTGTTATTTAAAACTTAAGTACTTAATCGGTTGCCAATTACTACTTAATTATCACTATATTATTATTGTCTAATTCACTATGAATCTATGTTGCAACTGGTACAAAAAAATACTTTACTCATCGGCAGGAATAAATCTCGTTCTCTTTCTTAATTAAAAATTAATGCTTAATTGCCAGATAATTAGTGTATAACCGTCAATTAGTTAATTTTTAGTCAATTAGTGCTTAGTTGTCAGTCAATTAGTGCTTAATTACCACTAATTATTGTACAACTGATTGTGCAGCTCTGTTGTAATTTTTGTGAAACAAATTTACTTTTCTCGTATTTTTCATCAAATTCATTTACCATCGTATGTTATCAAAGCACCATTTTATTGAGCGGAAAATTATAATTTTGTTTTTATAAACTACAATACTAAAATTGTTTATAATTAAAGTTTGTAGCTTTCCTTTACACAAAAGTTTTCATCACGAAAGATCAAAAAGTTTTTGGAAGTGACACACACTAAAGCTAAATTGAGTGTGTGCGAAGATAAATTTCGTTTGTTCAATTTACAATTTCGTTTTCTAAATTAACAGAATGGTTTCGGTTTTACGTGCATAAAGAAAAAAATACATGCACAGTAAATTAACAAAAGATACTTTAAAATTGACAACAACTCTGGATTTTCATAAATTGAGTATATCGTATTGAAATTACGTTAATTTGTAAATTATAAGTTAACTTTTAGTACTTACATACACTCCGAGAAAAAACACCAACGCAGTCGAAAATTTTTATATATAGAATACTACCCGATGGTAGTTGTCAAAGCTGTATGGGGGAGGGTGAAGTGGAAACATCCCGGCACTTTCTCCTCCACTGTCCGGCTTTTGCTAGGTTGAGATTGAAACATCTCGGCAATCACACTTTTGGCAGAAGATTTGGCCGAAACAGATATTGGCTGTCTCAACAAGTTTGTCATAGGCACAAAGCGCTTTGTGGACATGTAAGGGTCTATTGATCCGGCTCATAGGAGTTTTGGGTACCACAACGGACCGCCGTTTAAGCTGTCCAAGTGTGATCCTTCTTAGGATCGACCCTCTAACCTAACCTAACCTAACCAGCCCCTTTCCATAGAGCTAAACCGGTAACTAAAGCATAAAAATATTGAAATAGATTTTCAATAATTCACAATAAGATTTTTATGGAATTGAGTCTCTCACGTTGCCAGGAAACAGTCCAGATCTCAATCGAATTGAAAATTGCTGGCATTATATGGGTAAAAGTATAAAAGAAAAGTAAAAAGTCTAAAAGAAAAAAAAACAAATTCTTAAGCTGTTTGGAAAGAAGAAATTAAAAAAAATTATCTTCAACGCTTGTTTGAATCCATGCCTAAACGAATAGCCAAGGTTATTAGGAGGAGGGGGTGTTCTACAAAATACTAAGAATTTTTTGTAACAAATAATTTTATTTTGCTTTGTTATGTATTCTATTTTTAAATACAAAACATATAAAACGTAAAATATGTAAATAACTCTTTTTAAAAATTGTATTATTGTTCAAAACAAATTCTAGTTCGGTGATTTGTTATGTGTGTGCTTGCATTTTTCACTAAAACAAGTGTTAAGCTATAAGATTATTAAATAAAAATGCTTTAAATATGAAGTTAATACAAAGGCTTGACACTCAAAAAACTGTCTAACTTAAGATACCATAAACCTAACTTTTGCGCTATATATAGCCACTCTGTAAAGTGCATGGTTTTTTTTTCGCTGAGTGTACATACATTCATCATGCCAGTAAGTATATAGTAACTCAAGTGAGCAGCAATTAGGCAGGGAAATCAAAGCAAAATGATGCAGGAAGCGCCATAGGAAAAGGAAAGAAAACTTTTTTTAATGGCCTTAAGCAAAGCAGTTAAATTAAATTTAAGATACTACAAATGAAGCCAGTTAAGCAAGCATACTACTATTAATAACGTACATTATTCCAACTCGCTAGCCACAAAAAATATTTTCTTATCACTGTCACTTTCTTTCAGGAATACCTGCACGAGTGCATGCAAAAAATGGAAGTTATCTTTGAGGAACACAGTCGGAATTTGCCGTCGTATATAAGCTCGCCGGAGCCGTATCACCACCAGCAGCAACATCTGCCAGCGGAGCAGCCGCACCAGCAGCAGCAACATCATCATCAAAATCAACAAAAACAGCAACAACATGTGCATACAATGTGAGCGCATTCTCGGCAAAATTGTTAACTACAATATATATATATTTTTTTGGTTTAATTTTGCAAAAAGGAAAGAGGACAAACGAAATTAGAAGCGCAACCCGCATTCGCCGCGTAATGCCACGCGACTAAAAAAAGTAAAACTAACTGTGAAACCAAGCAATTTGAATGTTGAAAATAAGTTTTTTTTTTTTGAATTTCACTTTATCTCAGGAATATCTTTGGAACTCCGTATACTATTTAAAAGCATTACTTTCCCTTGCAAAGTAAATGCTCACATACATATGTAAGTATGTATGTTTACAGAATTCCAAATTTTGTGCGTAAAATGTGTGCTGAAAATAGATTAGCTAGAAATTTGTTATTTAACTACATACGAGTTGGTTTCGTGTGTTGCCTACCTTTAGGCGCATTAGCATGCTAGCTAGTATCACTAAAATACTATTGTAAACATTAATTGTTCACTAAGAATTATGAAAGCAGTCAGTTGCAGTTTATATACACACATACATACATGTATGTATGTTTTTTATTTTTTCTATTTGCAGAAAAGAAATAACATGTAAAATATTACCTATTTTTATTAATACAACTATACATTATATGCATATACTGCCAACTTACCTAAAAAAAGCACACACCCCACACACACACACACATACACATCCATAAAGAAAAATCAAACTCTTGTCAGTTTATTTACCTACATTGATACTTAGTTTTATAAGTAAGTAAGTAAGTAAGTTAACCAAATTTTTCATATGGATTTGAATGAATGATATTTAGCATGTAAGCGGAAATGTACTAAATGAATTAGTATTGCGAATGAACACATACACACACAATAGGGTTAAAATACATTGGTATTTTTCAGCAGAAAATGAATTGCAATTTTGGGTTATTTTTTTATGTTTTTGTTTTAAAAAAGACTTCAAGTACAAATAAATAGTTATACACATATCGCTATAGAACCAGTAGTTTCTCTTAAAATCACCAATTGACAAGCTCTCGGGTCGAATCAAGCAGTTTGACTCGCCGAAATTGTTGTTGCACAAACCGAAATAGGCAATATTGAAATGCATATGTGTTCAAAGCTGAAATTTGGCAGAAAGTTTCATCAACTGTTATTATTAGTTAGTTAGTTTTACATTTATTACAGATATATACATATCTACATATACATATAGAGTAGCTATAAGCCAGCTAAGAAAGTTGTTAGTTTTTGCTTTGTACTAAACTTAACTTTTTAAATTCTTTTAAAATTATTTTGTTTAAGCCACTTGAATTTGTAAAAAGTAAACAACGCACCAGCGTAAGGAAACGAAAATAATAGACTGATTAAACACACACAAATTAATAATGGAGCAATAAAAACTTGTAAATAGTTACATGCATGCACATACATACACACACACAGCAGATGAAAAAAACTGTAAATTATAAATATTTATTCTTTAGAAATGCGGGTTTATACAAGGCTTTAGTTATACATAGATATATACTACTTATATACCTATATACATACCCTTACAAAATTAAGGTTAGAAGTTGACGCAGATTAAGGGAAATACCATACGTTCGATGAAAATCTCTCCTTAAAACATTTGTTTTTTTTTGACTACACTTTGGCTGAAGGCAGAAGAAATTGCACTCCTATTAAGTTATATAATTTTTTTCAAGCGAATTATATATTGTGACGAGTTTTCTAGTAAAAGTTGCCTCACTGCATGCCCCTAATACTCTGCACTAGTACTCTGGTTTCTAAGTTTAGTGCCATTTAGTTCCTGAAGAAACTTGGCCTTTAGATATATTACAACTTTTTGCTCAAAATCTTTTTGTATCTTAGAAATTAGACGAGTTGCCCAAAGCATAGCTGAACTGTAGAAATATCCCACTCTTTGCTCAAAATTTAATTGTACTTTAGAAATATTGCGATTTTGTGTTTAAAATATTAATCGAATTCACAAATATGGCAAACACTTGCTCAGAATCGAAATTGAGTTTAGAAATATGAAAACTCTTAACTCAAAATTGGACTTAACTCTAAAAGTATAGCAACTTTTTGAAAAAATTACATTTTTCTTTAGAAAAATGGGAACCCTTTGCTTAAAATTTTATTAATATTGTTTTAGAAATATTTTATGCTGTCTTAGAGATATGAAAACTTCGAAATCGAATAAAACTTTAGAAATATAGCAACCATAAGCTCAAAATGTAGTTGATTGCTGTTGTTTGATCAAAAACGAATTGTACTTTAGAAATATTGTAACTCTTCGCGAAAAAATTAATTAAAATTTAAAAATATGGCAATTCTTTGCACACAATTTGGCAGTTATATAAAAAAAAGAAATTTTAAAGCCGTATGCTAGTTAATCAAAGGAACATTTATATCAGTTCTGTTGAAAGTCTTACCTCGAAAATTTCGTCTATTTTGTATGTCTGCATACTTTAAATTTTCCTTCTCAAGCCAAAGTAGTTAAGTTTCTAATTGTTCTCTGAAAAATACTTATGTGTAGTATTACCACTAAGCACCTTTGTATGCATTTTACTTGTATACTCATTTATAAAAATATTTCAAAACCGAAAGAGAACGCACAGGAAGTTTTTTATGCCCGTATATCCCCCTACCCCCACTAATCGCACACTTCTTGTTCGCGTAACTTCCGACTTAATTTACGTAATAAATTTGTTAGAATTTTTTGCTATACAAATACATATACATACATACATATGTAGGTTTTTTTAACTTAGGGTAAAGTATGGAACTTATCCTCGCTGGAAAATGAAAGGAAGCGTTTAGTAATGAATTCTCAATTAATTGCACTAGTTTTACATAATTATTTTAATTTTATAATTTTTTTTTTTGTTTTTGAACTGAATTTAATTTTCTATGTGACTTTATAGCCGCAATTAAAGGGTTAACTTGGTTTCTTGTCTTGCAAAGATATTGTGATTGTGATTTCACTAACTTACACACGTATGTATATATGTGTACCTACATACATACACGCATATATGTATGCGTTATATATATTTGTAAGTGTGGTGAGTTTTAATATTTCTCGATTTAGTAGGGTCATTGGGTGTTAAAAGTCTTATACCTAAAGTACATAAAATACATTGTAGTAGATATGTATCAGCGTATATGGATTTATGCACAGCTACATTCAGTGAAGGGGGAAAATATGCTTTTAGTTACGCTTTTTTACATAACATTAAATAAACAGTACGAAAAAAAACAACAACAAAACGAAATCATTAAACCAATCAGACATACCTGCACATATACATATACACATAGACGAAAGTATGTATTTGCAACTCACAAACAATAAATACATAATAGCAGTGACCGGGTATAATTATGCGTGAATTTGCGAAAAAGCATAAATCTGTTATATAAGCATATATAAATGTATAACATAGACGGTAGATTGGTGGACAGTGGGCTTTGAAATGAATATTTTGTGGCTGAAATTTGTTGTAGCAATTAGCAAGAGAGAAATCTCGCAAATATTAAATAGAACTTTAATATTTTTTAATTAACTAACGCCTAAGCGCACATTCAAAATCGAAACCACTGGTGTAAATATTTTTAAGTTGTAAAAAAATATTCAAAAATAGTTTAAAAAAATTATTATATTAATTATTTTCGTGTAATGTTTAGTTGATAACCTCAAACTACGTTTATTTTTATGTAATTAAGCAGTTGTAATTGTAATTGTAAATCTTTTTAATTGTTTGTAGTACTTGCATTAGTGGTATTTACCGTTATATAAGTAGGTAATGTCTAACTAACATAAAATTTGTATTTTTCGAGTTACTAAGAATTCCGAAACTTCTTTAATTATTTGTTAATTGATTAAAATGCATTTATTCATTGTTAAGCGGTAATATTTTATTGTTAAATTACAATAAAATATATAAAAATTATAATGCAAATAGCAACTGTTGAAAATTGTAAATAAAATTAACAAAACTTTGAAAAATAATTTTACGGCATACTTATACATACCTACGAGCACACTTAGCTTACTAATGTTGTTGTTGTTGTAGCGACAGAATCCTGCCTTACACTTAGCTTACTAAAATTTTATGATGGTTGAACTTTATTGTTAAATTTAACGGTATAGCAACTGTTGATTTTAAAAAAAATTAAAAAAAGATATTTTGTTATTTTATAGAGACACACACACACACCTATGTCATTTTATAAACCCCTCCTTTAAGCATGATACTATCAAAGTGTGCCCTTATGACCTCTAGCTAAAGTGTATAAACAGTTCTTCTCTTCTAACCACCCCACCCCTAACCCTGTTAGTCGTAGTTAAGTACCATAATAAATAAATGTAATTAAAATTAATATTGTATCTTAGCATTAAACTGCGTTAATTTAATAATTTAGTTATTATATTTACTATATTTTAGTTTAATAAATGTATATGTTAAACACTTAATCGTTATTTGCTTATATTTACTTTTAGTTCGTAAATCACTAACCAATTACCTTAATATACAATACATATACTATATATCATGTAGTTTGGTGTATAATATGCATATGTTGTTGCAAAATTGGTAGTTGTCTCCTATAGTACGAAATAGCTCGTGATTTTTCGCATATGAAGGCAAAACAGTCGTGAAATGGAAAAATTATAGTTTTTTGCATAAAATAACGGTACATGAAAACTGTTTAGAATACAAGCAGCAACAAAAAAAAAATTAACAGCTGAAAAAATAACAACAACAAATATTGTTTTGGCTAAATTTTGCAAAATGAAAATCCTGCATACTGCAAATGAAAGCAAAAATATTTAACAACAACTACATACATATATCTACATAAAAGGGTTAATAGTATACGCGTATGTTTGTAGCAGTCATAACCGATATTTGTGTTTTGTTTCTCAAGTTATGCGTACTGTGACATAATGCATATACTTATATTAATATTAATTAATGTATGTATGTATATTGAATTTGTGTATTTGTAATTCTTTTAAGTCAGACATTTATAACTGTCATACCTATGTGAATGTATATGTTTAAGCTAACTATCTACAAGTATATATCCTTAACTCGTGTATTTCTCGCAATGTCGTTATTATCAACATACTTACTACTTGACATTATAAAGAAAAGAAAGAAGAAAACAAAAAACAAAACAGAAACAGAAAAATTAAAACGCGCAAAAAAATTGTCTCTTTCGTGCATTTGTTTGTGCATACATACCGTTATGAGCAAGTGTGCAAGTGATGGATAAAAAATAGTGCATAAACAGTGAATATTTCCATTAACAGTTAATAAAACAACAAAATGAAAATAAAAAAATAAAAAAATAAATAAAACGCAAAAAACGGACTTTTAAAAGTTTTCTATTCTGGGGCGGGGGTCACTGCTTGAAATTGTTATTATTTTATAATGAACTAAAGCGCTATTTGCAATAACGAGGTGTGTTCAAAAAATAACGGAACTTTAAAAACTTGTTTTATTTATTCGTCTACATTAATGTTGTAGACTTTAAACTAGTCCTCATTCGATATTATGCACCTATGCCATCGCTTCTTCCAATCGTTAAAACTCTTGATTTTTGGGATAGCCTTTAGCTCTTTTAGCTCGAAAATCATTATATTATATAAAATGTGGTATATTAAGGGTTGGGTAATTCTTAGACCAATATCACATATTTTTGACATTAAACTATAGTATGTACAATATTATCCGTTCAGTTAATTTTGTTAAGAAGTAAGACACATATTGATAAATAAATATAAAATATAAATTCAATCAGAAGTTCGAAAATAAGATAGAGATATTATTGATCCGCTTTTATACATTTTTACCATTACCACAGAAAAGGATGATATCTGAGTTCCATTAAGGTATTTCGCATACTATTACAAATATATGCGGGATGAAGTCAACTGGATGTTTTAAAATCTTGATATTAGTTGTTTGGCGGCTATGCAAGTATTAAACAAATTTTATCCATTTTATGCACAAAGATACATTGTTATAAGAAAATCATGCTCTTTTAATTTCATTAAGATATTTCGCATATTGATCGATAAGTTCAAAAATGTTTCTATTAGGTATAAGGTGACTAAGTGATTTATTAATCTGATTCAAACCATTTTTGGCACACGGGCATATTGATATCAGATAAAGGTTCTCTCTGAGGTTCCATAATATATCCCACAGATTGACAGATATTTTTGATAAAAAGTTCGCAATAGGAATTGGGGTCCACATATACGGTACCTGGGAGCTTGAAAAGTTTTCTTTCGATTTAGATAATTTTTGGTCATAAGCTGGCAGACTTCAAAGTCAGTATTCGTGCAAAATTTTATCCCGATACATTCATTGGTGCTTAATTTGTATACTTCAAACTGAAAGACTCAGATGGAATTTAAAATTGTGTAATAATGGAAGTAGTCGTGGTTATATTCCGATATCGTCAATGTTACACTGCGGCATAAGAATGTCAGAATAACGTCACCTACCGAATACGGTTTAAATCGGTTCAGCACGCCCCGAGATATGGGTTTCTAAAGGTAGGCGGATCTAATTGTGACCCTGGCTCCTATAAAGTTCTCTCGTACCATCTCGGATGTAAAATTTTATGTCTCTGGCGTATATATTTATAGATTTATCGCGCTTTAGTAGTTTTTAACAGTCCCGTTATATGAGGAGTGGGCGGGGTTATCATCCGATTTCATCCATGTTTACAGTGTCAGTAGTGGTGCCTAAGCGATTTATACTGAGCGAATTTGGTTCCTTACTTTGTACCAAATATCATTGCGTTATCTCAAGTTTTACTCAAGTTACAACTTTACTCATCTTTATCATCCTGATCATTTATATAATATATATAACCCTTATACCTATATCTCGATTAGTTTTAGGTGATACAAACAACCATTAGGTGAACAAAACTATTATACTCTGTGGCAACATGTTGCAAGAGTATAAAAATGTAACGAAAGGGTTCTACTTCATTGATCGATGAAATCGTGAATGGATTACAATCAAATTTGGTAACTTATTAACTTATTCTAAAGGGCATAGACTCATTTAGTTATATTGCTATATTTTACTTCCCGTCAGCGAAAATTATGCTTAAATCATCCTCAAATGAAATAAGAATATATGTTATATATACTCAACCGAAGAGGCTAATTTTAATATATTTGAGTTGATGAGAAAAACATTAACCAAATAATCGAAATTCATTATATTAGAGCTATGAGGCTTAGACCAAGACCCTTTTCATGTATATTGATCGCCAAACCATTTATATAATCGTATGGCTTTAAAGAAAACGTGTCCACTTAATTTCATTGAAATATCACACATTTTGACCAACCTAAATGATTTAAAGTCAGATGGATAGTCCGAAATCATTATACAAGTATAGGATATATTAAGGGCTGAATGTACTATTCTTGACATTCCTCAGGTAAACTTGAGAACTTATTTTATTAGATTAGAAAACTAACTTCCACATTAGCCGACATATGTGGTACAAAGACAACTGGAGGTTCGAAAATCTTTATGCTAGATATATGGGGGCCAAGGGAAGTATTAACAACCCTATTCAACCCATGTTTGGCACAAGGATATAATATTGATAATAATATTGATTGACTGATATTTTCGGTAAAAAGTCAGCCATACGCATTAGGATCCACATATTTGGTTTAAACAGTTATGGTCAGATTTTGACAATTTTTAGATTTGAGATGGCATACCTTAAAGGCACTATTTGTGCAAAGTTTTATTCGAATATATTGACTGGTGCTGGATTTGTATAGTTGAAAGTGTAAAAATCAGATGGAATTTAAAATTGTGCCCATTTTCACAACGTAACATATGATCATATGAAAATATGATATGAATTAGTCAAGCAGGTCCCGAGATATGGGTTTTTACCTAAATGTGGGCGGTGCCACGCCATCGTCTCCTATAAAGCCCTCTCCTATGATCTCCGGTGTAAAATTGTATGTTTCTGACGCATTTATTAATTGACTTATCGCGCTTTTAGTAGGTTTTAACAGAACCGTTAGGAGAGGGCGGAGTTATCACTTTGTCCTGATCGAATTTGGTTATAATAGATTGAACAGCTTAGGAGTATGTACATTAAACCTTTGAGAGGGCTGGACCACGCCCATTTTTCAACACTTTAAGCCCACAGGACAGACAGACAGTTACTCGGATTACAACTCGTCTCGTCATCCTGATCATTTATATATATATATATAACCCCATATCTAATTCAATTAATTTAGGTAATGCAAACAACTGTTAGGTGAACAAAACTAAGGGCGGTCTCAAAATTAACGCAAGATTTAAATTTGTTGCCATTTATGTAGTAAAGTGTTGACAACCCTAAATGGAGCGTTACCCGATAGAACAACGTGTCTTCATTATTGAACAATATTTCAATAATAATGCTAGCCTTGAGGATCTCTTCACAAAGTCGCACTGGCGGCCTGAGTAATAACTTTTTTTTATAAAAAACCTTAGATTTACCGTTGCTAATAGATTTTTAAAACTACTATTCAAAACTTTAAAAGCTCTTGTAAGCTCCCATCTGTCACATTTGTTCAGCTTTGTGCTAGGCAAGTGCGTTTGTAATCACAACAACTGTACAGGTGCACGTTGTTCTGCAAACCGATTTAAGTTGTCGCGATCGCGATCATAATTATTTTTCGAATAGATGTACTAATCTTTCATTACTTTGAAGTTAAATTTCTGTGAATCAAGGTAAGTTGTGGGTTGCAGCAGTTCTGCGCATTTCCGATGGGATTCTAGGGTAAGTCTACCTCCATACACTAGTCGTTTAAAACTTATTAATCTACCTACACTTTCTAGTCCTAGGGAAATGCTTGGTATTATATTCTTAGTGAAAATCTTGAATGGAACAGTTTGCAGTTCTTTTCTTCTATCTGAAATTAAATTTAATATCCCGATTCGCTTTTCGAAGCAGTTTAGACCTTTACTGTTAAAATCCTGTGGATCAAATTTTGAACTAAAGGAGCCATTACGCCGTATATGTCATGATTTTAATTCTCATTCCAGCACATTTGACTTATCTGACTCACTTTTCAAAATTAAAAAGACTTTATTGTTTTCTCTTAATGATTGCAAATGTAACAATTTATTATATTGTAACTATAAATCTTAGCTGTTGAAATTTTTGTTTGTGTAGCTGAGCAGTTTTAGATCTCAACACTTAAAAAACTCTCTTGCCTTTTCTGACTCGGCTTATTCCGCACGTATGCGGATTGCGCACCTCGCGTCGGTTGGGCGCGAGGAGGGTAATCATTAGGTTATTATTATTATTATTATTATTGCAAAATACTCGCTGTACTTGGACATTAAGGATCTCTGGGCTATGGGGATTAGCTGGACTGACGGAGTAGTATATGTTATAATAGCAGTATGATCTTCACTAGTCGGAATGTCAAACAGTTAGGGTCGTTTGGTATATTTGCGAGTGAATTGTTTAGGCGGCGAAGGTATTTAATTGGGAATTGAGGTTACCTTCTTGTGTGAATAGCGAGGGCGTCTGATGTGTTTATGGAGTTCAACCCCGGATTTCCAGTCCATAGCAGTATGGAAGCTCAACTAGTAGTAGTTTCGGATACTATTATGGCCTCGAACCCTACCAAAGTGATTAGTGTACCCATTCCACACTGCCAGTGGTACTAACAATGCCTGATGTTTTCAAAGCGCTGATCAACGCATTGATTTGATAGGTACCCACGTAAAAGACAACGGACGTTTTAACTTGCTACAGTATTCAAAGTTATATTTTACAAGGGTTACTCTAGTTTCTCGAAGTAACTGGAGCTTAATTTATGTAATGGCTGTTAGTTTGACGTTAAATGTCAGTTAGCTGTTAGGAAAGTTTTTAATGCTTCTGAGAGACAAGAAATTGTCTGCAGAGATGTTTTCGACAATATCTACAAGCATATATTTTTTGGATGAGAGTTTGGAGTTTGTGAGTTAGAGCTTAAGACTTGGATTATTGTACAATGTCAATTGATTTGGATATTATGTCTAAGTGAATAATCATTTTGGCATATTTAAGATGTTGGACCATTTTCCACTAGAAGCATGAAGAGAGAGTTTTGCTTTTTAAATTCCCTTAAGGCGGTATTCTAGTCTAGAGACCTGAATTTTAGGTAATTTTTAAAGCGTCATAAAAATAAGGCAATCAATATTTTTACTATCGATTTTTTTAACCATTTATTTATTAATGTTATAAGACTACGGAAAAAAATTAAAAAAAAGTTAAAATTTAAAAAACTGGCAGTTGATGAAGTCGGGGATCTCAAAAATTGGCACATGCGCAT